TAAATGGAATATGAGGTCTGTAAACAACGAGCAAACTCAGCTTTTCTTGCATGCAAAACATGAAGTTTATCTAAAATAGAGGAAGAATCTCTATTCTAGCGTTATGTGGATTAATAGTGTTGTTGTAAAGCTAAGTTATCTCAAACAATGTTGTTCCTAGTGGCGTCAGATAAAACTTTTAGCTCATTATTTTTCTCCTTCATTTTTTCAAATGGATATTTTCTGAGTGATATGTAAGAAGATGTGGGAGGGGACTGAAGAGATGTAGGTCATTTCATCAGGAGTTTGAACAACATCTAAAGCTACTCTGGGTCTAAAGGATAGCTACCTAGATGAAAGAAAAGCATACTGCATCTTCATCTTTTTGTATTATGTTGTGATGTTGCAAGATTTGTGTCTGTGTATTTGCTTGCACTTACAACTCTTTCTTTGATTTGTGGATGTTTCTGTGAAAGGATTATAATAGAAAGAGAAAAATGAAGAAATATAAGATTATCTTTTGAACTTGGTTCCCAAATCAACAAAGGAATATACTTGAAAATGATTTAGGTGGTTGTTCAGTCTGCAAAATAACCCATTTTGCCATGAAAACACTGTGTAGCATTCTCAGAATACTGAAATTTGATTCAAAACCACAAAATTTTGCTCTGATGTGGTACAGAAAAAGGATTTTATGATTTTCTTCTCTATGAGGTGAACATTTGGAATGGACCCATAAGCAACTAATGTTTGAATAAATAACTAACCTTCTTGGCTAGCTGCTCTTCAGTGGGCATGCTCGGACCTCCGGAGACTCTCTCCTGACTCTCTGTCACAATCGTTTCCAGTCAAGCCTAGAGCTTGCGTCAGGCTCTTTCACCAAACCTAAAGAAAAAACATGTTAGCTGTTAGTACTAAAGAACCTCTGTTCCTTCAAAACTGCAGCCAGGCAATAGACAGCAATGCACAATTGCCCCTGCTTCTAGTAATATTAGCAATAAAAAAGAAAAAAAAATTTTCTGTTGACATCAGTGAGGCAAAGAGTGGGCCAAGCTTGCTTCACACCCACACAATATGTTTAATTAGAAACTATTTTCCTTTAAGAGCAGACATTTGATTTTTTTGAAATGTTACAAAGAGCTTAAAGAGGGAGTTACCAAAGGGTGGGGGTGTTTCGGATAAAAGGAGGCAAATCACTATTAGAGAAAAAATTAGAGTCTGAAATCAGGATACTTTTGTAATGATCCATAGTCAAAGGCTGTTTGAATGTTCTTCAGATTTTTCAGAAGCATTTTCCATTACTTTCAAGATAAATTTGTCAATTATCAGGCTAGATCTATTTTTTAACTACTGTTCATATGGGGCCAGAATTTTCCTGTATAAGGGGAGCTACCTTCGCTATGTGGAACAATCATCATGTATTGAAACTCATTATCCTTTTGATTTCTTTTTTTAGGCTGTCTTGAACCTTGTCCATCCTGTGCTTTCAGTCCTGTTCCCAAGGAAATGGGCATAGTTATTTATTAGTATTATAAAGAGAAGGTTTGTGCTTGACTTAATTAGCAGAGAGACAGTGTCCATAGCTTGCTTACAGCTCAGCCATCAGGATTTATGCAGGCTACGTTTAACCATTTGCCTTATAGTAGTTACATGAAGTCCCTACAGATTTTGGTCCATAAGTAACAGTTTAATGACAGCAGTAAACTTGAGTTGAAGTCATAGATTCTGTGAGAGCTGGCCTACTCCATACCCAAATTATGCGCTTGGAAGTTGGCACTTGTAAGTACTATCATGGTTTGCATGATGCATAAAACTCAGAATTCGGGGATAAAAGTAGAAACCTGACCACAGGGAGGTCCTAGATTTAAAAAAAAAAAAAAAAAAAAAAAAAAAAGCTCCTCAGCTCTTCTTTATTATAGCCCACAGCATCAGATCCTTCCACACACAAAAGCTGCAACTCAGATGACCTTTGAGGCTGAAGTCCTTTCAAAGTAGCTACTAATTTTGAGAAGTGCAGAAATGAAGTAAAGGTTTCTTGAGGCTGCTCCTGTCTTTTGAGATGCATAAAGGAGAAATGGCCTTCTGCCTTCTAAAGAAACCATGCACTACAGCACTTCTGTCACAGGTCTCTGAGCATATGGGGAATCAGGGACACTGACCAATTGCAAGTGCCGTTCTTGGTTAAAAGTGTGAGAGAGACTTGCTGGGAATTAATAACACTTTTAAGGCTTCTTATTAGACTCTTCAAAGTACATAAATACAGGCATGCATGCATAAACATCCCACTGAGACAAACTAGACTGACAGCTATTTCTGAAAATCAGTGATACATACATTTGGTAGGAAAAAACATTTTCCTGATGGACTGGAATTGCCCAGAGATGCTATCTAATGACAGCAGCGGGGAACCCACAGTGATAATGAAAAGAGTGAGTTATGCAGTGATTCCCTGAAGCGTTAGAGTGCCCACCACTTTATTGGATCTGAGTGCAGTCCTTCCTTCTGTTTCTTAATTCATTTTGATTACTTGATAGCTGACTAAAATTGAGTAAAGCTGTCACTACTGGCAGTGAAGATAAAGATGTGCTGTACGCCTCTTGTTTATTTTCATTTCAATTTGGAGGATAATACAGTCGTTAGGTACAGTGGTGCTACACGTAAAACAAAGCCCCCCATTTCTCTGTAACTGTCTCTTAGTTCTGCTTAGCTGAACGGGTAGTACAATCAATGGGTGCAGAACGGGGAGGTGGCACAAAAAGTTACCACATAAGCATCTTTGTCTCGGGGGATGAGATTTCCTAATAAGCTGCTGTAGGCAATGTACTGTGTGCAGCTCATCAAGTGGAAAAATACTGCTTCAGAATCCAGTGTGGAGGCCACCTTTCATTAGCTAGAAATGACGATACTGTTATTTAGCCCCAGTGCTTTGCCTATGAAGTCTCCTGTGAGAATGATGCAGTGCTAGGGAGAGATATTGCTGACAGTGTCAGGAGGAGCTGGGGAGGGTCTTAAGGAGCCCAAGTATTTCAAGGGGAAGGAGTTCAACTGGCCAGCAAAAAAAAAAAATTCTTATTTTACTGAGCAGGGCCTGTGTAGAGGTGGAAGCAACGGGGACTGGGAGCAGGTACCACCTTGATTTACTCTGTGCCATTGATTTGTCCAGCTGAACTTGATATTAGAGTTCCACTTATGAAAAGTTGATAATCTATTGCTAGTTGTTTTAATAGAGGAGTAGCAGTTGTTACAGATTCATGCAGTCCAGTCATTTGCTTGTGAATATTGTTTGTCAGGAATTTTCTGCAAAATGTAGATTTTCCACAAACAAACTTTTCCAAAGGAAGAGTTCTGTTTTACTAAAGGGGAAATTGCAAATGACATTTTTCATTTGACATTAGCTCAGCACAGACTGATACATTTAGATTTGTGGCAAGGAATCTAAACACTGTTTTAAGTCAGTTCAGCATTGAACAGCACCACCCAAAACTGCGTTATTGCTGATGCATATTGTGTGCTCAGTGTCTCCCCACTGCAGTTCTCCCAAACCATGCAGTATCTGTTCATCTTGGAAGAAAATGGTGCAAGTTCCAGGCCAGTTTAGCTGCATCTTGCAGTCCCATGAGTGCCCTCATTTTTCCCAGTGGGCTGGGAAGACTCCTGGCGAAAATTAACCTAAGTTTCTTACTTTTGTGCCCTAAGCTGCACCATAAGAAATGCGTTTTGCATGGGAAAACACACTGTGGGGTCAGAAATTTTCAGAACATAATATCAGTGACTAATTACAGCTTTAGTCGTTCAGGACATGTTATTATTCCATTAAAAATTTGGTGCTCTTATAGTATAATCATTTTTTTCTAGTGGCTCTAAAGACAACATACACAAAAGAAAAAATGACAATCAAAATGCTTAGTAATTCTACTTAACTGTTAACTCAAATGATATACTTCAGAATATTAAGGGGCACAATATCTTTGGCAATTAATTTTGCTACTGTTAGAGGAAGGAAACTTGAGTAATGTACATAGCATTATTAACTATGCAGCTTTATAAACATCAATACATGGGACAGATACTACGTGCAGAATGTAGACAGAAACTTGTAAGGGGAGCTACTATCTGTTTTACAGACAGTGACAAACTAACTCTCAGAAAGATAACCTTTACATGAGGAGAGATTATTTAGTAGCATTTTCTGGCTGAAAACAGTGATCAGTACTAGCTAAATTTGGATTTCTGGTCTGCTCTAATTTTTCACTCTTGCTTGACATAGAATTGTTCCTTTCCTTCTGACTACTTATTAGACTCTATTCTTCCATTATTTTTTGTATAATTATTACTTGAGGAAGCGTGCTCTCACTTAGTTATATGGCTTCAGTCACAAGGGAAAGGTGAGCCTGATTGCAGCTTTTAATATGCTATCATGCTATAATGAGGGGTTTTAATAGGAGCCCATTACAGATCTATTTTTCAAGATATAGTTTAAAATATCCACCTTTGAAAAGCAGTGTTAAGGTTTAAAGCTTGAAAACCAGTGTTAAGGCATTCTGCTAGAACCATATTTTGGATAACATTAATTTCATAATGTCATATTTTGGCTTCTGCCTCTCTGAAAATCCAGGTGAAACCATTAGACTCATTGAAAGTACCTGGAAAAGTGCTGGACTGTATTCTTGTCACAGACATGTATCCACTTCCAAGCTGTCTCATGGCCAAGATCTAGCAGGGTCTTTTTTTTTTTTTTTTAGATCAGGGGCCAGTTTAAAGACTGTGCTGACAGGTGCTGTAGGAGTGAGTTGTGTGTCCTATGCAGTGGCAGCCTGAGGTTACAAGAAGCCATTTTCCATCTGGCACCACTCAAAGACCAGAAAGAAGTGGTGTGCCAGGCTACTTACTGCATAGCATGCTCATAACTAAGTAACCACTGATGCTGCGGTCCCAGGGGCAACCCAAAATGAAACCCCAGCCAGCAACTGATGCATAAATCAGTGTAACTAATTTTCTTTTACTCTTATTTTAATGTGCAGTGCAAACAAATAATTGGATACCCTGGAAAGCTGCTTGATCCAAGGGCTATACTTCCTCCTCGTAAAGAAAACAGTGAGTCCCCTTTCTTTTATATCATTACTGAGCATTTCAATGGGAAGCACTGAATACTTCATGGTATTGGGAATTAATTTTACTGGAAAATTTACTATTCCTAAGGACTGGAAATGTAGCATTAGAAAGCACTAAACTCACACTTCTTACCCAGGACAATAAGAATAGTCTGATATGCAAATTCATGCAGAGAAGGTAAGGGACCCATCTAGGGTGTCTTTTATGGGGAGAAAAGCTCTATGGGCAGCTCTGCCTTCTCAAAAATACTGATGCTTTCAAAAGTTATTAATAAACAATGAGAAGTTCCTAATTCCAGGGAGATTTACTTAATTGGGTTACTTATCATGAAAACTTCTACTTAAAGGCTTACTGAAAGTCTAGACAAGGAGAAAAAAAATCCTAAATATTTCTAAACTGACTCAGCATTTGGTTAGGGCCAACCTGTCAGTTCAATAGGTAGTTCTCAAATGATTCTAAAATTAATTTATAATCCTGGCCCCTCTAGTGCTTCAAGATCTGGAAAATTCAAAAGTTGAAGTTTGCCTGCTGAGTTATGAACTTTGGAAAAGACGGCAGTGGGATAAAGTATTGGTTATCTTGCTCTTATCCAAAGAATTATGAAGGGATTTTGGTAACAGAAGACAAAATTACAAGTAGGAGTTTAAAATTAGGCATGAAAATTCAGTCATCCTCAATAGATTATAAAAATGCTAAATCCAGAGATGATAATCTGAGTGTAGGTTGGAAAGATTCTTATTTTTAAAAAATGAATATTTTCAGACTGATGAGGATCCTTTCAAGTTAAATGTTTGTGAAAAGAATAACGGTAAGAACAAGGATGGGGTGAAAAATGAGGATGGCAGTAAAGCTCTGAGAAAAGCACTTTTGAAGTAGTGTTTGTATGTCAGATGAGGTATAGCAGATTCATGAGATGAAAATAACTCCTTTTATATGATTGTCCAAACATAGAAAACAGATGAATGCAGTAACTGTTCCATACGAGCAGCAAACAGTAGATATCAGCCACCCTTCTCAGCTGAGGGACCCTGCAGTGCTGTTTCAAGACAAAGAAAGAAATGAGAAAGTAAGTGCTGGGGTGCCCTGGGAAAGTGACTATTTCATCTGGTAGTTGATTCTTTCAGATATTGCTCAAAAGTGAATAGGATAAGATCCTAGATATGAGAATAGAGTTCTTACACTCAGCACAAGAATGTTGACTGTAAGAACAAAAACCCTGCTTCAGAAAAAGCCTTAGTATGCAAGCATTGTATCTCTCAGATCTTTAAGGGCTGCTAAATGCTGAGGAGAAAGGTGGGCAAAAGAGGCTTTAATGAAAATAGCAGTAAAGATTGTTCTATTCAGCTGTACCTCCGTAGAAACCTGTGTAATCTTTCCACTCTATACTACAACACTTGGTAGCTGATCCAACAAAGGAAGTGGATCTCCACATAGTACTTGCACGGAAAGCCCAGCAGAATTTGGCAAATCTTGATGTTTTATTAAAAAAAAAATAAATAGCATGGACCTAGTATTTCCTAATTTAGAGCAATTTTACAGAACAGCCCTAACAATTTCCCAAATTCAAATTACCATAGTTGTTGACTGAGAGTAGTGGTTGGCCCACGGACACTGCTGCAGATGTGGTCTCAGATATAATTATGCTAGTTATATTTTAGGAACAATACAGGGAGAAATGGAAACCCTTGTTCTTGCAGTCTACGTATACCTATAAATAGATGTTGACATTCTAATGAAAAAAACAGCATTTTAGATAAATTCCCTCTTTACTGAATTTTCAGCCATGAATCTATCCACTAGAGTGCTGTCCTTTGTTTAGCAGCTAGTGAATAAAGGTCAATGAGTACAGATATTGAGGGGGGTTTTTGGAATTCTAACATAGAGAGTAAAAGTATAAACCTTGATAAATATTAAAGAATATATTCAAGAATAACTAATTGTTTTGAATTACAGTGTATCAGTTACCAAGGGACCTAATAGCTGCTTAAACTTAATTTTAACAATGAGGCAGAAGTACAGACTAGAATAGGGAAATTTTTTTAACATTTAGATAAGATAGATGCACTCAAGTCAGCAGGGCCTGATGGAGTTCACCGTAGAGTACTTAAGGAGCTAGCTGAAGCAATCTCTGAGCCATTAGTGATTATCTTTAAGAACTCATAGAGGAGAGAGGAGGTCCCTGAAGACAGGAGAAGGGCAAACACAGGGCATTATATTTTAAAAAGGGGAAAAGGAGGACCCAGGGAATTACAGACCTGTCAGTCTAATTTAGGTCCTTAAAAGATTCAGGAACAAATCATTAAACAATCAATTCATAAGCAGCCAGCTGATATGGTGACAAAAAAACAACAAAAAACATAGGCTTGTCAAGAGCAGCCTATGTCAAATCAATCTAATTTCCTTCTTTGACACAGTAGCTTGTCTAGTGAATAAAGCAGAAGCAAGAAATGCAGCAGTGCTTGATTTTACTAAGGCTTTTTGACATGTATGACAGGCTAAGGAATATGGTATAGATATAATTGCAATGGGGTAGGTGCATAGTCTGTTGAAAATTAGCTCTGTAGCAGCGGCTACCAATGAATCACTGTCAGGGAGGATATTTCAAGTAGGTCATTCAGTGGTTTGTCTTATATCCAGTTCTGTTAAATATTTTTGCTTAACAACTGAGTGAGTAAATAAATGTGTGGATGACACAATTAGGAGATTCTGCAAGTCCTAGGAGGACAGGATCTAAATTTGAAATTATCTTAACAACTTGGAGAAATGAGTTCCAAATATTTAAACAAAATCCCGCCAGGAACCGTCCAAAGTGCTGTGCTTCAGAAGGAGAGCTGCACAGAGATTAAAGGGTAAAAAAGCAGCTAGGTAAGCAGCATGTTTGTAAAAGATTTGAGGACTGCAGGGAATCACAAATTAAACATGAGTCAACAGCGCACTTTCTTGGTTATATGAACAGGAGTGTCATACTCAAGATAGAGCCCACAACTATTTCCCTGTCTTTCGTTGTGGTGAGGTTTCACTTGGGGTACTGCACCCAGTTTTAAGTGCTACCTTTTATTACTGATGTAGAGAAAACGGAGAAAATTCAGTGGAAAACAGTTAGAAGGAAAAGCTGTGGATAGCACAAACTGTGAGGAGATACTGAGGGAATTGGGTTTGTTTACTTTAGAAAAGAGAAGGCTGAGAGAGTAAGATGACAACAGACTTCCAGTATACAAATGGTGGCTATGGATAAGACAGTGACCAATTGCTCTCTTTTTAGTCTTGGAGAGACTAACAAGCAGAAATTATCTTAATTTGCAACTTAAGTTAATGTCAGGGTGAGAAGAGCTGGCAGTCATGCAAGGATGGTCCTTGCTGATTTTGTGAGGGTTTTTTGTTTGTTTGTTTGTTTTTTAAGATAGGTCAGACAGCATCTGCTAGGAACCCCTGGCTCTGTTTCAGTGCAGGGAGTTCATTCCATGAGGTTTCATACAGCCTCACATTTCTACTCAGGAAAAAATGTGAAAATGTTCTTATCACTAGAGTTTCCATTTTAACACTGCTTTGACTATATGCCAGAAATTGTTTGATTTGATGATCTTACATTGCTCACCACAAAAATGTCAACATTTATTCTCCGTTACCATCATCTGTATTGAAGATACTGCAATATTTTAGTTCATAATAAGCCAGCTGGTCCATTACACATATTCTCTTTGTGAACACCAATTACTGCCTGCTTTAGACTCTCCTTCTTTCTCCATGGGCAGCATCACTTCAAACCTGATTTCATGAAAGATAAGAGACAAAGCAGGCTTATATAAATATTAAATGAGAATGTTGTGAAAAGAAATTATCTGAGAACCTGTCCCTTAGAGAGATAAGCAGAACAGACTGTTGCATTAAAATCATCTTAATACAGTTCTCAAGCAGACCACAGACACCCCTAAATACTCTGAATAATCAGATTCTGATACAGACCAAATCTAAGGCTTTTTGTTGTGTTGCTTACAATGGTGCAGTTCTCTGAATTTCACTAGCAAGCTCCTGGCTGCCACTAGTGCGGGCAAGACCAGGTTTGGGAGTCTCAGGGACTCTCTGCACTGAAACTGCTCAGCCAGCAACGTGCTCCCAGGGAGCGGCGGAGTGAGACGGGAGGTGGAAGGGACGAACATGGTAACAGCCTCATTTCTCCTGAAGGCTCCAAGTCACTGCAGCCTTCCCATGTAAGATTTTGCAGTGCCTGCACAGCCTGTCCCTTATGCAATCGCACTCCTCACTGCGAGGAAAGTACAGACTGTGCAAACTTCACCTATGGCATGAAACATATACTCAGCCAAACAGTCCCCCCGAGGTCGCTTTAGGCTGCAGCTGTAGCTGCACCAGCACGAGAGGAGGTTGCACCAACACCTTGCTCCCACTGCCACCAAAATCAACGGGAGCCTTCCTACAGATAGCAGGGAGCTTTGGGCCATGGCCTCCGTGCCTGAATCACATTTCCAACAGCACTTACACCCTGCTGCCTGCTTAGGGGCATATAGCTGAAAGCCTAAGTCAGTGAGTTTTTTCCTAATGCCACCACCTATTGCAACTCAGCCAGTCCCTTCTTTAAATCATACATAGGCTACGTTGTAGCTCTGAAGTCATTGATTATAGGGTATGTTAGCAATAATACTATAGTTAATGTCTGGTGGTTTGTTAGAACAGTGAACACTCTCAGCTTTGCTTTCAGCTATTAATTAACCAACCAGTCATTAACTGCTGCTAACAATTGATTTACAGGGAATTATTGCTTAAATAGCAGGAGGTATTTAAGAGGAAAATAAATTAAAACAAAGAACTGCTGGATCCTTGGGCACAAAAAGGACTCCTCCTAATATAGAGAATGGCTGCCACAGCACTGTAATTACAGAGTGATAAACAGTCATTGGGAAGTATGTTCCTTTCCAGAGACAATGACATTATGTCTCCTGGAAAGAGCCCCTTTGTCTGCACTAATT